AAAATGAAATGCAAAAACTAGAAATTTATGTTGCTAAATTTTCATTAAATGCTTGTAATATACTTGTAAGCAACACCAACAAACAAAAATGTGTAATACGAACGAAAAGAAAAGCAAAAATAATAAGAAAAATATATATAAAAAATGAAAAACAGTAAAATCGAGTAAAAAAAAAACAAACAAAAATTTGAAGAAAAAGAGGAAATACTAAAATAAATATATTTGTCAATTTACGTTTTACAAAACCGTGAATAACTGGACGTTTCTTAATTAGCTGACAGAACAGGTAGAAAAAGTAGCAGAAAAAATAAAAAAATTTGCTTGTTACATGCCTATGTGCTGGCGTTGCTGACGGCTGCAAAAAGTTGGTGCTTTGCTAGTTTTACATATGTATGTATGTATGTATGTATGAGTTTAAGCATACATATATTTTTTTGAAATATCCAGTAAAAGCATTAATTTTGCCTATATACCAGCGATTTCCGAAAAGTTAGTACAAGTATGTATTACGAATTTTTCTTTAAAAATGTCAGTATGAGTTATGCGTCAGCGAACACCGCCTTAATGTGGGCTCATAATCTTTGTGTAGGCAATTCCGTACTCCAAAGTCAACTAGTTTTGAGGAGCGTTGCCAAATGATTTGATATAAATACTGGTCTGTTTTGGAAAGTAGGAGCTTGGGAATTTTATTACTATTTTAAGCAAAATTTTTATAATTAGGTTTTTTTTCTGATTTGAAGTATAGTTACGATGTATTTAATTTTTTTTTTCATTTATAATTTTAGTTTTTTTTTGAAATTTAATTTTTTATTAAATACATTGTTATATATAAATAGTTGATAGAGTTGATTTAGCCATGTCCGTCCGTCTGTCCGCCTGTCTGTCTGCATATACGCTAACTAGTCCCTCAGTTTTTAAACTACCGATCTGAAGTTTGGAGCTGTCCTTTTCTCACTTAGAAGCTGCTCATTTGTCACTATAGCATATAGCTGCCACACAAACTGAACAATCTGAAACAAGTGCTTGTATGGAAAACTTTTTCGTTTGACGAGGTATCTTGACGAAATTAGATCGGAATCAAGTTTTTATAAGAAACCTTTGTACTTGTGAAGGGTATTATAGCTTAACATTTTTTTAAACACTTTTTTATATAGTTCTTTAAGTATGTATTTATTATTAATTTTATTTACAATTTCTTTTATTCTTTTTTTTTATTAAAAAAAATATCTTTATTTCCTTTTTATAATTTTGTACTTTTAATATCTATTTTTTTCATATATCTTGTTTTTTATTTTAATATTTTGTTTTAATTTTTTTTAATATATTTTTTTTTAATATATTTTTTTTAATATATTTTTTTTTATTATATATTTTTTTAATATATTATTTAATTGTTTTTTGAGTTTTTTTAATATTTTGTTTAAACTTATTTTTAAAAAAAATTTTGTTCCATTTTTTATTAATATTTTGTTTTAATTTTTATTTTAATATTAGTACGCATAAAACGCCGTTTATGATTTGTCTTTAATAGTCGATGTTGTTGTTCCCACGAGGTCGGTCTGCAACCTACACGGGCTAGGATTTTTATCCGACCAAACAACAACAACAACGTTCTCTATGTTTAAATATTATATTAATAAAAAACATTTGCTTACGATTACACATGCGCAACTTTAGAACGGCAAATAAAAAGGTTAACATTTTTCAATTGTCACTAACGAAGTCGAATAGTACACGGCATCGCATACACGAGTAATGACGTCACGTTTCCATCGTGATATTCGTCAAAAGACGTACATATTTACAGGATTTTGAACCTTTGAAGCTTTTCTTTATGCAATATAATTATTTCGGCATGAAAATCTAGAGTGCACCTAAAAGCATGCAACAGCTGCCAACCAATTTGGAGGCATACCAATGTTAGTTCTGTAGATAAATTTGTATTTAGTTTTTAAAATAAGTCTGGATTGGTATGTGGGTCTAAGTCCACTTAAGTTCTCCCATCCGATGCTTACACATATCCTAGGATCTCGTTGATACAATAAATACGCTCGATTCAAAATACGTCGTTTTCAATTAACATATTTTTTTAATATAACTTTTTTAAATACTTAAAACTTTCGTAATCATTTTAAATCTATTATCAAATCAATTTTAGTGTCTAACTCATTTTACTCTTATGTCGTCATTGTTAATACACAAACTTCTTTAGATTTTGATTGGACATATTCTTTACATCGTGGTTTTTTTCAATGACCAAATTAATACATTAACCGAAAAAATTATTGTTTTTACATACCTTATTGTTGTTGATGTTGCATACTCTCAGTCGCCCAAGCCTCTTTTAATTTTACTTCATAGTTTCACGCATTGCTAGTGCTTTAAGAGCTATTGGAATAATTTTTGTGAAACAAAAAAACGAGTTTCGCTAATAATTTTAACACTTTCGTTATATTAGCATATTTTATAGCATAGTGGATTTACCAACACAATCATAATTTTTTATATTTTATTTATATATAGCTGCTGGCATAAAATCTAATCTTTATGATAATTTGAATCTTAAAATTAACATATAATTGTAATGTGCCAAATTATATAGTAAAAATGTTCTGATGTTCTGCAAGAACTTGCAGTTACTGCCTCGTATCAATTGCTGCTGATCCTAGATGTAGGCAATATAATATGTTGAAAATATGAATGTAAACATATATAATCTTTCGGTTTTGAGTCAAAAAACGCGCCGAAAGGCAAGTAACACATCATAAACGTATGTACTGCTTTTAAGGTGCTTTAAGTAATTTATTTTTTTGAAAATAATTTTTTAGCATAATTTTGGGGTCTTTCCGTGTATTTCGACCTAGTGTTTTGGACGAGAAGCTGATGTTTTTAAGAATGCAGAATATATGCGCTTTTCTAGTTATTTGACGGTATTTGAATTCTTTTGTTTTGGAGGAAAATCTGCTTTCGGTTATAACCTTAATTTAATTTTTTGAGTGTAGCTAGGTTGCTGTTGTTGTTGCATATCCACAGGCGCTACGCTTTTTTTTTTGTTTTCTATGAATTTCATTAGAATGGAATATCTAATTAATTCACCGATGTATTTTCGGTTTATTTGAGGAAGGGTAGGCAATTAAACTGACAAATATTCCAAAATTATATCTGCTGCTCTGGCTACATACATATACAAATTTAAATATTTTATATAGTCTATTTTTTTTGTATTAAATTCATTTTGTGAAATATGTGTATATACCACAAATATATATTTTTTTTTTTGAATTTCAAACGATTTCTGTGAAATTATTTACTTTTAAATAAATATTTGCATACCTATTTTCATTTTAATGCTATCCTGATATTTTATGCAAATTTTCGTAGAAATTTGACAAAACAACTTAACTCGACTTAGTAATTGTATCCTTTCAAGCTTTCGATAGAACTATTCTTGCATAAATTTTAATTATTTAATAATGCAAATTTGTCGTTTAGTGCATCATCTTATTAAAACTTGATTTCAAATATTGAATATTTGTCAAAATATGAATCAAAAGGTACTAAAAAGAAAACATGCTGAAGTCAAATAAGTTGTTTTGTTAAAACCCATGGCTATTTTTAAAATTATAAAAAAAAGATTTTCATTATTTATTTTTAAAATTTTTTGTTTTTTATTTTTCTGAAGATGTTTTCAATAATATTTATAGAAAATCTATTGTAAGATTTTTTTGTAATTTTTTTTAGATTTTTCGGTTGGTTAAATTTTTTATTTTTGTGTTACTTTTTGTTGTACTCACAAAAAAAAATTATAATAAGTATATATTTTTTTTTTAATATTTATGTAAAAAATTTTTTTCTTTTTAATAAAAAATTAATAATCAATGAAAATTTTAAATAATTATTAATTATTTCTTATACAAAGTTTGTAATGTATTTAATTTTTGCTGTATTGAAACATTTTAAACGAGTTCCTTGCATCAATCATTCATCAATTCTCGTTAAGAAGAAGAAGAAGCAGTGCTTCAACACAATATTGCAACACCGAAATTCATGAAAAAATTTCTAAAGCAAAATCACATACACAAAACTCTTCGAAAATTAAAAAAAATATAAAATTACAACAAAAAAATCACAAAAATAAAAACAAAATACACTAACTATAATATGTAAAACTGAAACAAAAAACTTTGTAATGGTTAACTTACTTTCATTTTCTATTTAAAACCAGAAAAAATAAACAAATAACAGTAAAAAATGCGTAAAAACAAGAGATATTCATCGTATTCCTGTTGTATGTAGTGTGTACTATAAAAAAATATTAAAAATACAAAAAGATAAATATAAATAAACTAAAAATTGAAAAAAAAACAAATTAAAAACCGAGGATGCTATGGAAAAGTAATTTCTAAGTATTAAAATTAACAAGTATGAGCTATGAATTTCTAAAAGAAATTTGAATACACAAATTTATTATACATAAAATCTAATAAAAAAAACAAGAAAAACAAAAAAATAAAATGTAAAAACATGGATATGAAAACAATTTACTTATGAAACTTTTTTTAAACAAAGCAAGAAAAAATAAAAAAAACACAAAAACAAACAATTAAAAGGTCAATAAATGATATGGAATTATATATAAAATATAGATTGATATAACAGACTTAAAAAGTGAACCGGCGAAGTGAAATAAAGAGAATATAAGCTTTTATTTTAGTTATTAACAATAATAATCATTAATCAATAAAGTTAAATTAAAATTGAGATAAATGATGCAAGCAGTAAGCCTTTTATTTATCAACATCGGGGAAGGGCTTTTTTGTGAATTTTTACTGAAGCGGCATTTCTTTTTTCGCATTTAAAAAAAATGAACATAAAGAGATTTAATGTACTTTTAGTATCAGCGATTAACTTTTAAAAATATTGGATCTCCTAGTTCCTATAGCCGATCTCCAGAAGGACCTCCGGAAAAAGGTGTCAATGAAATTTAATATTATGATAGATGAGTACAGGTAATGATCGAAGGAATAGTGAAAATTTTTGAGAAAATGGCGGCTTCCCAAACACAAAAAATTAATTTTTTGTGAGAAAATTTACAATTCAAAGTGGCTTAAAAAACGAAGTTATTGTCACGAATCTTATTCCTTCGATCATTACCTGAAAAATATATTTAAGAATGTCGAAAATCTCAAGCCGATCAGATGAGCCGTTTCAGAGAAATTTCCTCACCGACTCTGAAAACAGCGTTTCGAGAAAAACGGATCTCAAGTTTTGGGAGCCCATTACAATGAGTTATAAAAATACTACAAATACGTTCATATCTCCAAAACTATTTGTCAGATCAACTTGAAATAGAATATTCTCAAATACATGTAAATTTGAATAATGCAAAAACAATCGATTTTTTTAAAATTACAAGTGTATGTAACCGTTAATCGACGCGCATTATCTTGAAGAATAATGTCTTAGAAATATTCTCTGAAAATTTGAAGTAAAATAAAGTAGTTTTTTTAATTTTGATTTTATATAAACATTTAACTGTGGGTTTTTTTCCAGCTTAACTGCAGAGTACGTTTATAAAATTTGATTTCGGCGTTTTAATGACAGCAAAAAGGTTGTAAGTAAACAGCTTTTGGGTGGGATCAACGATTTTATAGCACGAAATTTCTAGTATGGATTTGAAGACCATCCGCACTATACTTTTTAGAATATGAATATCATCATTAGTTTTTTCTTCTTTCAATCAATAGAGGACAAAAACACTAAAACTAAGTTAATTAGCTGAGTTTGACCACTTACAAAGTCCTTTAGACTCAACTATTTACACTAAAAACGACGGATACCTGTAAATGTAGCTTATTGAAGTACGACAGCGGTCCAATTGGAACTCGTCTTTACATCAATTTTGAACTGTCGTTATCAAAGGAGTAGAACCATCGAGTACTGCATGCAAGCGCTCGTTGATAAAATAAAAATCAAATCGTAATGAAAATAAATAATCACGGGCCGATTTTACACTTTTTCCATTTTTCTAAAATCCGCGGATACTCATACTTTCATACTTGGTCGAAACAAAAATACGAATTCGATAAAGCTGAAATTTTGCCTGTACCTATCTATAATAATTTACTACACTATAGGCAAGTATGTGGGAGTGCTTCCCATATTAATTAGCGCTGAATGCTCCATTTTGATGACTATCGTAGGACCTCATACTTTTACTATCTCGTTTTATCGTTGCGCTCAAACCATTCGGTGCTCCCATTGAAACTACTTATGTCTGTTATACTTTTTTGTGGAGTACTATTCAAAGTTTGGTGTCTGAAAGGTTCCAAGTACTATATTTTATATCGGGTTTGTGATAGAGCCGGGCAGTCATTGAAAAAGTGGAAAACCGTTTCCTTATACCCTTCTAGCTTACAGCTGCAGCAAATATTGTCATATCGCAGTCGCATTTTTAGCGCATGCTCTCCAAAGGACCAGTGCCCCATTATTGTGACTGTAAGTCTAGTATATATACTATTTTTGGATCTATGTAATAAACCCTTGGTTCTATTCTAATCATACTTGGGCCATATCTGTTTTATTATCTTTCAGCTTGTTATTGATTTCCATCTGCTCTGTGCTTTTTGTATAAAATGCATATAAAGCTATCTTTTGATCGTTTTAGACGGGTATGGCATTAACTCCGCTTTGGATTCATCCAAAAAGGCTCCTAGCATCGCCAACTCATCTGCCTTTTCCTTACCGAATGTGTTCCCAAGACCGGGAACCCAAATTATGCATTAGTCGAGTTGACATGCCAATGAGCTTAAAGCCTTCCTAAAATTGTTGACTACGCTGGAAAAATTCTTGGCGTCGACAAGGCCAGCAGTGCTGCCAGGCTATCCGTGTATATGGTTGCTGGTCCGTATCTTCCTCCCCTCCGAACTATCTTCTACATTCACGTCTAGAGGGTTTCCTCACTCGAAAATTGCTATTGAAATCTAACCTTGGGATTGTATAGTCTGATTCACTTATGTTAAGCTTCTTCGGGATGGTACTCCATATTCTTTCCGGTTCCAACCTCCTAATTTCCTTATCCTGAAAGCAGAACTTGCAACTATATTACGTTTCGAGTGAACTCATCTATAGGCAGTTGGTGCTGGATCACATTTGAAAGTCATGCTTATGAGGAGAGTGAAAAAGGGTTGTCTTCTAATATGATTTCATACTTTGCAAACTACATCTCTAGGCATTGACCGATTTATTGCGAAAGAGTATTTAAGCTCAGAGACAGGTTTTGTTTTCATATCGCTTTCGAGTAAAACCCGTAATCCTTAAGTGCGTGACTATTACTCCGTCGGAAAAAAGTTTAAACAACGGCCGAAGAAATTTAATTGCATATTTTTCATATTGGAGATCTCTTCTCTACAGGTATGCCAAACATCCGAAGAATTTCTGTCACAGAAGTCATTATTACAAAGTATCTTATAATATCGGTTAAGAACAACTACAATATTATATAATAAATAGAACAAATAGCACAACGACGTTTGATAAACGCATAGAAAATGGAGACTAATTAAGGCTTGTAGAGGATTATTCTACAGAATTAAAATAAAATTGTGATTTGTTGGTGGAAGCGATAAAGATCTTCACCTGACTGCAAGCGGCCACGTTTAAGATAAAATGCTACCTTCCAAAATACTGAGGAAACAACATAGTGGCCTTAAAAAAGCAATCGATTAGGCCATCCTAATTGACATTTAAAGTGACAACACCGATTTCAATACTAGGCTGCTACTTCTAAAAGAAAGAGTGCAGATATTTGCGATTCTGTATCCTGAAAATTGTTTTATATGGAGAGAGAGAATTTTTGTAGTTAATTTTCAATTGTTCGCAATTCGTCAAAGAACTTAATAAATTGTCCAATTAGTATTTATTTGATAAGAAATTGTTGTCATTACCTTCGTGGAGCCCTGTAAAATGTATTCATCTACTGCGATTTACTTAATTTTCGCGTAATTACCAGGTTATACTTCTCTTTTTCACAAAGTCCAATTGCTATTAAAACCCAACAGAAAAATGTTAAAGTAAAATTTTTGTGAAGAATTCATATGTATCTGTATCTATAATATCTACATTTATTGCTCTGTCCATTTAGCCAAAAACGGAAACGAAATTGCTGTCTAACAATCTAACAAACATCCTGTTACGTGGTCAAAGAAGTCAACTATTTATATTCCAGTCCAGTAAATGGATTTATGTAATTTTCCTGGATTATGTTATTTAAGGGGTTGTAACCAGGCTCGACCATGGGGGAGAAGGGTTGCTGGTGATTCCCTCCGGTCCCGGAGTTCTCGAAGGGACACGTATTTTTAAAAAAATTGAGTGAATAGTAAAAAGTCAGAATGCTATTGATAGGTGATTAGTTCGCACATTTATTTTAACGTTGTGATTATCCTTAAAGGAACGTTTTTTTACTTTTGCAGATTGTCACGAAAAACCCGGCTAAGCTTTGTCGCTTTAATTTGCAAAACATTGGAATGTTACAACATAACCTGTGGAAGATTGGGGTGGACATAGCTACGATAATTGTAGTAACATGAACGCTAAATTTGAAGGAGCGCAAAATCACATCCAACGTAAAAGTAAATATGCAGTTCTTTCGCAATGTGGTGCCTACACGCTGAATTTGCCTGGAGTCGACCCGGCTAAATGCAGTCTTCGAGCAATAACTTTTTTTGATGTCGTTTTAACATGTTTCAATATTTTCAATAGCAGCACACAACGTTGGGAAATTTGGAAATCCAAAATACGCAATTCATTTCACTGACTTTCTAATGTAAGATGGTCTGCTAGAATCTATGCCGTCAAGCCATTTGCGAAATATCTTCCCGGTTTGATAAACGCTTTCAAAGAAGTTAAAAAATTAAACCTTACGGCAGAAATTCGTCGCGAGTTTGATGGAATTTTGAAATATATGAGCATTCTTTAGTGCGCTTTGATCGCCTGCATATAATATAATCCTTCAGTCAATCAATGAAAGAAATCTGGTTCTTCAAGAGATCACTGCCATCATCGACGTTGAAGTTAGAAATATAGAAAGCCTTCTTTTGATTTTGCGTTGAGGATTTTAACATAAAAAAACACGGAAACGATCTACAGGAAGAAGTGGTTGGAAATTGTAGAAGAAATTGAATTCAAAGGAAGTCGTTCTCATTTGTATGACTTGTATTGATATGAAAGAAGATGAACTCAACGCCGTTGCAAACAATTTTGCAAAAGAGTATTCCGTTGATAGCTTTGAGAATATTTTGCACTTTATCCGTTTCAAATTTTCATCGATCGTGATCGTCACAGGGCAGGATTTCAGGACTAGCTACATTGTACCTAGAGAAGGCTATAATCGACGCATTCGCTGCCGCCAAAGTTCGAAAAGCTCACTTCGAGAAGCATGGAGAAGATTGGAGATTTTAAATTGCATGTTCAAAAACTTAATCACGATAGCCAACAAATTTCAAGAGAACCGTTTCTTCACTAATTAGATCGATAAATAAATGTTTGAATGAGATGTTTATGTCTTCTTATTAACTGTCAAGTTTTGCTATCCCTATATTCATAAATATAATATATGCCGGTATAATCTGAAAAAATATTTTTGATTGAAAGTCTATTTATGTACTGATTTATACATTATTTATTTTCAAAATCGTGCAAAACAAATTTGTTATACACAACGTCAACAAGAAATCAAATTTAATACAGTTGTGATGAGAGGATGAAACACTACGTCAAATTTGACTTATTCTTAAAAAACAGCGAAGTAGTAAGTGTGAAGATAGTTTAATAAAATTTATAAAGTATAATATTATATTAGAAAAATTTCTTTAAGACGGAAGCCCCCACCTTTCTTCCCCTGGCCTGGTTTTTCTCGCGGTGGCCTTGGTTATAACCACTTGTGAATTTCAAGAAATCGATTTTTGATTTTGAAAATATGCTATGACAATTTTAAGGTATACCGGCAAAAAATAACGGAGAGAGGAGCGTAATTGTAATAATTTTTTAACTTAGTGTAGTTAGCTGCTAAAACTTTAAGTGCGTTTTTCTCGAAACTCCGTTTTCAGAGTAAATTGAAAAAATTCCTCCGCAACGGCTGGACCTATCCACTTAAAATTTTCACACGATGTTATTAGTTGTATTTGTCAGATAATGACTGAATTCATAATATTTTTGATAACTATTTTTATTCCGAAGTGTATATTCTGTAATTGTACTTTTATTTATTTATTTAGTTATTTAAAAATAAATCAAAAACAAAGTAATTTTTTCCAGTCTTTGACCCGAAGCGTTGTTTTTCGGTTGCATCGAAAACTCATAATCAGGGTATTTTTATTTCTAGGAATTGAAATTTGACATTATTTTTGTCACCGCTCAAATATTTTGAACAGCTTCTATATAATAAAATGAAAGTGCTGATAAACTTGATTTCTGTGTGACAATTTACCTCCACTGAAAATTATTCTTAATCTTTAAAACTCGCCTTCTGACTTCGTTATGGTTCGTAATAACTACCGTGGGAAGGCTCTTTCGTGTTCTCTGCTCCAAGAATAAAACATTTTTAATACAGTCATTGGATGCACTGTGCCGCGCTTGTGATCAGCTAAAAGCCTTTTGAGATATAAAGCTGCCGTAATGACTTTTAACTTATACCATATATCTTTATAATTGAAGAGCTTTTTCTATTTTTTTTTGCCGTTGTTGTTTTCTTCTGTAGAAACATCCGTTTTGTTGTCTAATAGCCATTTCTAGGATATTTAGATATGATTCTCACTGAAAATGATTCTTAAATGTTATTCGCTCTTATCAGATAAATAATTTTATTTATATTATATATATATATATATTTTTTTTTAATATATTTTACATATTTATATATGTATGTAGGTACATGTTTTCACAATATTAGTTTTTACCGTTGCGTTGGAACAGCCGATCGCGGCGGCAGTGAAGATAGTGGCTGTGAATTCAATGAAGTAAGCGACACAACCAGCTAACCACACTGCCAAAGCGCTTAGCCGAATACAGGTGAGTTGGCGAAGAGTTGAAATAACGGTAAATTTTAGACAAGAGAAATATACACTTAACATAATGATTGTGAAATAAATTTTATTACAGAATAAGTATATATGTATATTATATAAGTAAATAGATTTATATATATATTATATATAGTTGTTTATTTAATCACTTAGGAATTCACTTAAAACCAAAAACTTAATTAAGATTAGAGATTATAAAATAATTATTGTAATTTTAAAAATATTATTTATATACACTTAAATATATATATGTATATGTATATTTTCCAAAAAAAAAATCAAAACATAAAATTAAGTAAAGTTTCCGATTTTAGTTTGAAACCATATGTGCCACCATTTCTATGAGTGTTGTAATGCACGCCAGTGTCAGTATGTATTTCTTCTCGTTTAACGTTTCGTTCTTTCAATTTCTGGCTTTTTTTATTTAATTTTTTCCCATTTTTTGACATTTGTTTTGTTGGCATTTAAAGCCGCTGGCGACATCTGTGGTGTTTCTAACTCTGCTAATCAACATACCAAGTTACATATCTATGTAAACAAATACATATCTATATGTACGTGTGTATGTCAATGAAAGTGTCAACGCGTGGCCATTTTTTGCATTATACCGTTCGTTGTTGCGCTGTTGCGTTTTGTGCGTTAGCAAAGCTTTTCGCTTTGCTTTTCACTGCAGTTGTTAACTTTGGCATACACACACACACACATACTTGTATACATAATTGGTTATGCTGAAAAATATGCAACGTTTTGGCTTCAAATTATGCTTTCAACTTGCCATTACAAAGGAAATGCAAGCCATATCCCGCTAAAAAAGATAGAAAACGAAATTTCCAAACACAGAGAGACGCCATATTTTAGAATTATAAAAATAAAAAATGTATGTCAATAGTATATTTAATAGTATATTTTAAAAATAAATAGTTATTATTGATATTAGTGATATGTGAAATATTTTGGTAATATTATCAATAGCAAAGTCAGAAATTATTTGTCAAGCTTTCTTCTTATATACATATTTGTACATATAATATATATATCAATTTAAATTTTGTTAGAGTTGTATATTTCAAGTTCAATATTTCGAAAACTTTTCATTTTTGGTTGAACTAAAATCTGTCCAAAATTAGTTTTCATTTGAGTTGTAATACACTGAAAGCCCTTTAATAATTATAATTATAGCAAAACAATTCTATATAACCTTTACTAATTTAATTTCAAATCTTTGCATTTTCATGGTAAATAAAATTCTTCATTTTGCAATAATGCGTCTTTAGAAGTACAGTACTAAATTTATTTTCTGTGAAATTTGAATTTTTAAAATTTTCTCCGCAGTTTTGTTTAGGGCAAATTAAATATTTATTGACAGGGATTTGTCTAAATGCGTTCTAGCATAAGAACACCCTGTTTTGCAAAATTCATTTTTATTAGAGTAGTTGAATAGTTTTTAATAAATCTTTCATGAATTTGTTTTTCAACTTGAGTTTATCAACAAAAGCCGGTTTCAACAAAAAAATAAGTTCAACTTCCTTTTTGCTGGTAATCAAAGTTTAATATGAAATTCAAAGATTTTAATTAATTTTCACTTGAAAGTTTTTGAACTTTGATACATATGTATATACATAGGGTTATGGCGTAGATACATCAATTATTGATAGATAATACAAATATGAGTTGAGAAAACTGTATCGAGTATAAAAACAGCATTAATTTCCATGTGAAATATGAAAAAGGAGTATTTTACTTAAATTTCTCATATTATTAGCCTCCCGATATCCCAGTATATGTTGCATTTGGTAGGCATAGAGAGTAAAAAATAATTTGTAGAAGTGGAAGATTGTCGGTATTTACTCACTGAGACATTATAATAATGCAATATAATAACCAGATCAGGTTTTAACGATGGCAATTTCTAAAATCGCTATGTAGAATAATGATCTGTTTCTAATGAAAATAATTAATTTATTGAGCACATAGAGCAAAACTGTAACCAAAACTCTTTCTACCAATATTATATCGAAAAGAAAGGCCCACTATTAAGAAGCTAATTCATAATTCAAGAGCTTTTGTCGAGGAGTTTCTATAGAAAAAACGATTGCTGAGAGAATTTTTATGATAAAATGCTTTTGAAAATTTGGACAAATGTTTGGCTAAGTATTGTATTTCTCTTTCGATTTGTGATGTGTTACTTTATGCTTTAGCCAAAAATGGAATGTATTTTTTTATAGCCGAAATATCCACTGAATACTGGTTGTGCCTTTCCAAAAAGCCTGTTCGAACTACTTTTGTAAAAATGTTTTATGCAAATTTATATATTCCCATTATGAATGTAAATAAGTTATGTATGTAGCTTTTAATTCTGTGAGCTATGAGAACTACGTACTCTTAGACAATAAAATACTAGATTTGTTGAGACAATTTTCGAATTATTATGTAAATTGTTTGAAAATTTTAAAAACTAGTAGCATTTTGCTTAAACTTCTATCTGTTTTATTCTCGGGAAGTTATAATATATATACTAATAACTGTAATTTATTTTCAAATTCACTAATTTAATTATTAGTATTTGACTGCAATGCAAATTCTAGTAAATGTCCTTGTTAAAAAAGTTCCTTGTTATGTAAACAGAACGCTTGACATACTCATCAGCACAAATAAGAATTTAATTTCTTTTTCTATATATTTTTACGATACAAAATATTACAAAGTACTCTGGCCTTTTCTAAGCTCCCATATATTTTTTTTTTTATATTTACTATTGGTTAGAAACCGATGTCTGGTTGCGTCAGTTCTAGGAATGTACCTAAGAATATTTTTCTTTTTCTGAATAAATGACCTCGAAGCTTACTAAACAATAACTATTAACAGATAAGCAACTTTATAATTTATATTTCAATAAATTTATTCTTGACATTTCTAACACATACTTCTAATAATAATAAAATTTTCTCCATAAGCAGTGAGTAACCCTTAAGCAATCAAGCGGATATGACTAATCAAATGTTTATATCTTTAATTTTTTATAACGCCTACACCTTTTCCGATAAACTCTCAAAAGCTTTATTATTTATGGTGAAGATCAATCAGTTAGCTGCCACTAAACGCCAAAGTGTAGCAAATATGTATTAGTTCAACACTCATGCACCTTTGTATGTATATGCACTACTTCTTGGTACGTAGAGTACAGTTATAAACTGCACGAAATGCTTTTGGTACACGTCGGAGATAAGCACCGCTTAAATTTGGGTCAGGGTCACTGCGTTCCTAAGCCAAAAACGCTTTCAATTCTTAACATTTTAATGTGTGGTATATATATATTTTTTATTTTATCGCCAAATAAATCGAAGTATGAATAATATATTTATGTATGTTTGTACGCATGTACTTTGAAAAGGGTTGAGCGGTAATTCTTGGTAATTTACTTTATCGCTGGGCGTATGAATCAGTGGATTTGCCTTGCTAAAAGAAATTGCACGTGACTTGCTCAAGGTCAACAGTTTAATCTTTTTATTATATTTTAATAAAATATATTATATATATATAAAGATACGTTGAAATATTCAAGAAATTTTGTTTGATAATGAAGTGTAATTTAAAGAAGTAGCTGCCTTTAAATTTGACTTTGTTTTTCAGTTTTTAATACAACAAAAAAAAAATTGTAAAAAGAAATTCGAGGGAATACTAAATTTTTTCTAATTTTTAATAAACAAATTTTTATTTCTTTCTCAACACAATAAATATTTATTTTTCAGTAAAAGAAATTTAAATATTGTTTTTTCTTCTGCTCATTGGCTTTATGAATAAAGCTTTATTTTTCTGTTGAAAAAAAAAAATTAAAAATAATAATTTTTCGCACTTTCATTGATTTTATAAATAATAATTTTTGGCACTTTTTAATAAAAAAAACTTAAATAATTGTCAGCATATTTGCTATTTATTAATTTTGAAATTTCTTTGTACCTACTTATTATTATTTTTTTTTACTTTTTCTTATTTCACCATTCAATAACTGGCGTTTATATGAAAAAGTCGGTTTTTTGGAAAAAATAACGCTATATAGATTGTGTGTTTGTTTCAGAAAAATATTTAGTAAAAAAACAAATTATAACAAAAATTTTATTATAAAAAAAATATTTATTTTACTTTTTTACTTTGGTTTTTTAAATAACTTCGGCGCTTATTGCTAAAATAAAACAACATACTTTGATATATTTTTATTCGATGATTTTTATTAACATTTTATTTTTAAAATATTTATAAACTTTTTTTGTTTAGTTGTTTTTAAATAATTTTTGTTAATAATTTCTTTAAAATGTATATAAATTATTATTTTTTAATATAATTAATTATAACGTAAAGCAGCTGCAAATACTATATAATTATCGTTAAATTATGCTAAAATATACTCACAATACATGTACATATAATATATTAATCTGTATCAAATACTTAAAATCATAAATAATTATATTATATTAAACACTAACACTTAGTAAATATTTTGGATTAAAAAAATTGCATATTTTCAACATTATTTGCATATTTTCGTAAAAATGTTTAGTTTTCATTATCAATTTATTTTCAATAATATTTTTTATATCTCTTTCATAGTGCACGCTTAAGCATTGGATAGCTAGGAAGATCGTCCGTCATGGCGTGTCGTACCAGATAGTGCATTTACAACTTAAAAAACCCAAATGCAAATGCACCCCTGACACGCACTCCAAAACTTCAC